GCTCCCCATATTGTAACTTCCATCACAGCCTCGTGTAACTTCTTTCCCACTGTATCCTTAGTAACTAGCCAGTGCTTGGGATATATAAATAAATAAATATTTGTTGAATGAATAAATTTATGTTCATTCCTGCAGAGAAAACTAATGTGATTCTACAGTTTTCTTTTAAGAATTTTATAAATTCAAACATTGCTAAACAGCAAAAATTTTCTTTAGCACCATTTTAAAAAAATGCTTAAAATGTTAGTATTAATCCAGTTATTAATGGTATGCTTTTTACAATGAAGTACAAATTCAAGAGTCACTTTTTACATTGAAGTACACATCCAAAGAGAATTTGGTATGAAATTTACCTAAACAGGATGATTTTGGCTGCTTCTGCCATCTATCCGACACATAATACTACTGGCTATTCAGGGTCCTCTTCTCAGCTGGAGTGTTTATCCAGGATTCTAAAAGGATTTTAAAATTTATCTATATTTAAATCATGTCATAATTGGTGAATAATTTTTTTTTACTGTATTAACACAAAAAAGTCACAGCAATTTCCCTGTTACACATAAACTGTTACAGTGATAAGTCATAATTTCGGTGGGAAACATTTTTTTCCCCCAAAATCATTGTGCTCTTTTGGTTTTAAGATATCTAGGGGCCGGCCCCGTGGCTTGGTGGTTAAGTGCATGCGCTCTGCTACTGGCGGCCCGGGGTTCAGAGTCGGGGCGCGCACCGATGCACCACTTCTCCGGCCATGCTGAGGCCGCATCCCACATACAGCCACTAGAAGGATGTGCAACTATGACATACAACTATCTACTGGGGCTTTGGGGGCAAAAAAAAAAGGAGGATTGGCAATAGATGTTAGCTCAGAGCCAGTCTTCCTCAGCAAAAAGAGGAGGATTAGCACGGATGTTAGCTCAGGGCTGATCTTCCTCACAACAACAACAACAAAAAAAAGATATCTAGAATTTGGAAGTGGGATTAGTTCTCAGCCCGGCAGGTCTAGAATGCCTGGTAAGTCATCTGCACACTGGTTGACTGAGAAGAAGTTCAGCAGCAGCTCCAGGACTGCACTAGGCCCACCCAAGTCTAGCCTGAGCCCTTTGTGGGGTGGGAAAACACCAGAAGAAATTTCATGTGTCAGGACTTTAGGAATGGCAGATTCTTTTCTGAATTAATACAACTGAGGTACTCAGAGTCCACCTGCTATCTAACTGCCTTCCCTCTATTCTAAGAAAGAATTCAATTTGTTATCTACGTGTGCCCAGAAGACCTGAGAGTAATCAATGCTAGATGGCTTTTAATAAGCAAGTCTCAATCCATAAATAGGATTGACAGAGCTAGCAAAAACAAACAAAAAACCAAACCAAACCAAACCAAAACCAGGATACTCAATTAAATGGGAATTTCAGATAAACAACAAATAATTTTTAGTATAAGTGTGGTCCAAATATTGAATGGGACATATTATACTAAAGTGTCCTGTATTTTATCTGGCAACTCTAATATAATTCACTTCAATTTCACAAATATTTAGGGGGCTTACTATCTGAAAGAAGAGAGGACGAGATCTTGGTACAAAGTCAGCAACCTTTGTCTACTAAAATAGAAGCTTCGCCTGGGAAAATCTCAATAATAGGCCACCTAGTACCAATAATGCTTTGCTTTATTTATGAGTATTATTTCATATGACCATTTGGTCAAAAATCTCTTTCTAGAGGAGTTTTAACTAGAAAAAAACTGTACTTTAGAAAATGTCCTAAAATGTCTAATACATTCAATTTAAAAATGTTTAAATAGAATACACACTGTTTAATACATCCCACTTGGGAGGATTATACAGTCCCAGTTTGACTCTGTTGGTTTGTACGATTGTAGCTCTCCCAGACAGTGGAAAAGAAAGACAGCTGACCCTTGTGATGAGTGATAATACGGCAAATGTATTCAGGAGGCACTGAAGCACAGCTTCAAACAGTGACGATAAGGTGTGGCCTGCTTGAGAAACAGCTGCAGGAGGAACTGACAGTATGTCCCATTATCTCCCTTTTTACATAAAAGGTATAGGAAAAAGAAAAAAACACTGATCCATAGTCACAATTAGAACTAGTGACAAGCTGAGACAAAATAGCTTCAAATCAAAGGATTGTTCTCACGCATAGTGCAACTTAGGTTGGTCTTCTAAGCCACACACACAGCTAATACTATTATCAACAATTTTTAAGTCAATTCCCAAAATAATTGTCTACAACGTATTTGCAAAGAATTGAAAGGATGGGATAAAACGTGACCAAAATATAAGCCAGGATATGATGGTGGTAAGGGTGTTTGGTGTTTTCAAAGATGAACTGATCACATTTGGTTCAGAATGGTGCATCTGCCCACGCCTGGGACCCGAACCTGGGAACCCCGGGCTGCCAAAGTGGAGTGCACGAACTTAACCACTACACCACTGGGCCAGCCCCAACACGGGGGCTTTTGTTTTATATTCTCGTATCCTGGTAGCACATTGTGCCTGGCACATAGAAAGCACATGATTAATTTCAAGATAGAAATCTCAGGACTCTTCATCATTTATCACATCCAATTCGTCATCAGGCCCTGCAGAATTTATCTCTAGCACCTTTTGAATCCATTCTCTGAATATTTTTATTTCCATTGCCTTATGCGAAGCCTTTATTTCTTACCCAGTTTACTACAATAGTCTCCTAATCTATATTTCCTAAAGACCTAACTTCTTAAAATAAAGAACATTTCACATCACTTCCTAAAAATAATCATTGCCTACAGAAGCAGTCCTCAAATTCTTAGAGGTGGTAGAAAATCATATTGTTCTCTGAGAGTAAATTGTAAATAAAAGACCATTTGAGAAAATGAGAGGTGTTTAGGATTGGTCAAGGTGTGGCAAAGGGTAATGAAATGACCCTTCAAATTTTGGTCTGGAAACTAGAAGGCCATGGTTTGCAATAGTAAAATCGTCAATCAAGTTATCTTTGGAAGTTATCTTAGGACCATGTGTCCACTAGTTATGTGCATTACCATCTGGAAGCAGCTGGTCTTGTGGAATTATGGAATGACCTACTGAGAACTCAGCTACAATGCCTCCTACAAGGAAATATCTTGAGCTGTTAAAATTCTTTTTGGATGTAGCATACATTTTGAATCAAAAGTTGCCAATTTCTCAAGTAGCAAAATTACCCTGGTTTGGGAATAGAATGATCCACTCTTACTATCCTTATGTGGAGGTTTTAGGGTTTGTTGACCTTAAGCAAATAGGCAGCAGTTATTTCTTCAGCAAAATGGGTTTACTCGGAATCAGCAAAGAACCACAATGCAAGGCCTGCAACCACACAGAGCTACCTGCAAGTCCCCAGCAGCAAGGGGAGAAGAAACTGTTCACGTAGGGAAGAGGAAGGGGGGGGGGGCTGTTGTAAATAGAGAGTCCATTGGAGGAACTGAGAGTTCCAAGTGTAGTGGCTTTCGTTGGCTGAGTTGTGACAGTCTCATTGGCTGGATTTCTTGACCCATCAAGGAGGAAATCTTTCTACTTCCTAGTTGGGCTCTGCTATGGAGGTAGGGCATGAGAGCTCCCCCTTTTGGCCTCCAGACTCCATTTTAAAGAGGTTTCTGTTTATTAATTTCCGCCGGTTGAAGAGAAAAATGTTTCTACCAGGGAACAGAATCACGATTCCACTGATTTCTATCTAAAGATCGAACAATTCTCTCTTTTCTTTCATATTTCTATTTCACTTTAAGAAGCTATTTCTTCTATCCACTCCTGCATAGAGCAGCCAAATTTACACTTACATCCATCAGTCACCTTCTGTGATCAGGAAGGAACTATAGGAGGAATGCACATCACCTCAAGACCCTTGACTTGGACAACAGTGGTCCTCAGGGGCCACTGTCTTGTTCTCCCATGAGGTGGAGCCCTTGAAGTGCAGCTCATCTGATAAGCAGGACACTCCGGTATCTGCTTCCACGTACGTGGGCCCTGCCATGTCTTGCAGTTTTCAAGGTCCATACATTCTGTTGTCTCTCTACTTTGACCCAGGACTTTTCCGGCTCACTGGTACCCTCCACCGTGTTTCTAACTCCCGGTCCAGTGTTGTTTGACAGCAAGACAAATTTACAAGTAACCAAAGGCTTAAAAACAGTTCCTGCAACTGTTTTTGCACAGCGTTGAAAACTGATAGCTTCTCCCCAAATATCCTAACTTGATAAAGGTGCTACTAGGAGAACCTTGCTGCCTGCTAAGAATGGGCCATCCATAATTACCCTATGACTTAAGTGAGTCTTTGTGCTTTTTTCTCTCCCTCTAAAATGGGCTTTTGTCAGTCCCTAAATCTACTTCTAAGCGCTGTTGCGGAAAAGGTTCTGGTGTTCGTTGGAGAATGCCAGATATAAAAAGAAGTATAACAAGTGAAGACTATGTTCCCGTGCTGTGGAATGTCCGAATGCATCCCGCTCCCCGCACTATTCACAATATTACTGCTTGTTAAAATAATCTCATAAAGTGCAAACGTATTTGTTTAACCAGTTTGGGTGGTTAAAAACACCAAGTTCCAAGTACCGCTTCCTTCTCGTCGTGGTCAAGCGGCCTACGCTCCACGCGCCGGCCCCGAGCGCTTCGCCGCGCCCTGGCCTCACGCCGAGGGGCCCGGCAGGCCCCGCAGCCCGGAGCACGCGCCAGCTCCGCCCGGCTTCGTGGCCTGCAGCTCGCTGGGCTCGGCTTCCTCTCCGCAAGGGGGCGGGCATGCGGCCGGATGTGGAAGCTGTAACTGATGCTCTTCTGTCTCTCCCTGGGTGGAATCACAAAGTCCCGCAAAGCACTCTCGGGCGCCCAGCTTTCCGTAGCGGCGGGACCCAGCGGCCTCGCTTTCCCCAGGGCAGCCGGCTGGGAGCGCCCGCGTGGGCGGCACCACCTGCGCCGAGGCGTCTTCCCGCCTGCGCAGGCCCAGGCGCGCCAGCCAAACGCTCCGGCCGCCCGCCGCTCCCGGCACTCTGGTTCCCTGGTTCCCGGGCCGTCCAGGGGGACGCAGTTGGCGGCGACACCGGAGGGGGGCGGGTCAGGAAGTGGGGGCGTGGCGGCCCGTAGCGGGCCTGGGGCGGCGGAGGGGTTCCGCAAGGCGGAGGGCGGGAGACTCCGGGCCGCGTGGGAGCAGGAGCGCGCCCCGGCCTCCGCGGCGACGATGGCGGAGGGAGAAGGTGACCGCCCCGGGGTCCAGCTGTCGCCGGAGGTCTCGGGAAGGAGGGGCGGGGGCGCGAGGGCCCGGAGGCCGCGCGCGGAGGGCGGGGAGGAGCGGGGCGGCGGGGGAGGTTTGCGGAGAGATTCAGACGGCGCCGAGTGAGCGGCCCGCAGTGGTGTGGGCCCGAGTGGGCAGCAACGGTGGCGCTCGAAGTTGGGGGTCGGGTAGGAGGAGAAGAAGCTGCGGGCGAGCGGTTGAGAGGGAGGGCTGAGAGCACACAGCTAAGGGGGTGAGGACATAGTTTGCGTGAGAAGGGTGGGTTGAGGTGCCGAGTGCATATTGGGAAGTGACAGCTTGACCGGGTGCCCCGCATTGAGCGCGCTCTCTAGGGGTCTGTGGATGCCGACAGTGCCCGGCGGCGAGGAGCCGCGCGCCCGGGGTAGGAAGAGGCGGGGATGTGGGGTCAGCACGGCCAGGTGAATTGGGAGGGGACGAGCCAGCAGAAACTGGCGATGGCCGAGTGCACTGCAGGTTAGGGGGAAGGCAAAGGGCGAAGGGCTGTAAGTGGTTTTGGGGGACTAGGAGGCCAGAGTGCTTTGAGGGTGGAAGTGGGTGGGCTGGAGAAACCTTTCCATGCCCCTTCAGGGCCAATACCAGGAAAATTCATTCATTCAGCAGTATTTATTCATAGATGATGAGAGATAGGAGAGAAAAATGGGGAGTTGGGAGGAACTTAGCTAGTGTTAGATATCGTATTATAGGAAACATTCACGGCAGCATAACTTGATGATACCCGTACTAGTCTCAGGAACGGGTACACAGGACAGGGTCTCTTGACTGAGCAGTTAGATTTTTCATTCTGGTGGAGAACATGACTTTTTACCTTATTGAGTGGAGTTGTGAATGTCGTCTATTTAGATTTAAGCCTTACTGACCTAGTGCAAGAAAGAGTTTCAAGAATTTAGGGGAAAGCGATTTTAAAAAAGTTAATTCTAAGAAAGTTGCTGCTGTGCCCCATTCTCACGCTTGCGTCGTATTTGCTTCCTCTTCCTTGAGTTTTCAGTGTTAAAACTGATCTAAATTTAAGACGCTCTACCTAAAAACAGCTTCAAAACCAAAGCTATTTGTAGTTGGTAAGGAAGAATGTAGTTCTATTTGTTGCCTTGATTTTATCTTGATTTCAGTATATTATTTAAAACATTTCTTGATATTTTTTCCTTTTCCGACTAATTGCAAATCTATGGGGGTAGGTTGATGAGCTAGCTTGTATGTTTCCGTGAGCACTTTCATGCTTCAATCAAAGCGTGAAAAAGATTAATACTACAGCACTGACCGTCTTTAATATACATCATACCAAATGAGAAATTGTTTTAGGAGATTATAGTTACACCCAATTAAATAGATACAATGTGGAACCAATTAAAAAGACCATATAATCTAATGAAATTTAGTTATGTGATATAAAGTGAAAAATGATTTTTGGTTGTAGAATTATAGATCACCCAAAGCAATGAAATACATCTTATATGGAACAATTAATGGATTGCAGTGGTGTTAAAACATAGTTTCATTCAACAAATTTTTAATTCCATAAACATTTGGGTGCCTACTGTGTTAGGTGCTGGGATATGATAGTCAACAAAGAATGAGTCAATTCTCATCATGATAATAATGCTAGTAATGATATTTATAGCAAACGTGTCTTATGTGCCAGGCATTGTTCTGAGTGCTTTACATTTATTTGGCACTCTATACTTTTTTTTCAAAACACTTGTTATCTTGTATTCTCTGTATTAAAATGAGACTGAATAGTCTATCTATTTTACTTGTATCCTGATGTTCTCTATATCTCTTTTTGCTCATCCTTCATATTCACTTGGATCCTCTTCATTGTCCCACTTTTTCTCTTAAGTAAATACTCTGAGAATTTCATCTCCAAAAACATCTTCCTTGATGCTGTGGAGGGTCAGGGCGTTTATATTTATGCCTTCTGAAAGAAATGTTAGAGCGAAGAAAGAAGTGACAACTTTGAGTGAGCAGTATTAACACTTCACTTGGAAATTGCTAGGTATGGTCTGCATGGACACTTGCAAGCCTATTTGTAGCCCTACTAATGATCTCATGTGATGATCACTGGACCAGAGACTGAAATAGCAGGTTATTTTTGTAGCTATGTTATTTTCATTGTTTGACTTTTTCTTTACAATGCTAAAGGTGTAGGGTAGTGAAAAGGAAACTTGAATTCTATCCTAGAGCTTTCCTATCAGAATTAATAGTCTAGTTTGTCCACCGCTTTGGCCTTTGTTGCTTATCCACCTAGAGGTAGATTCCTGGATTTGTTCATCACTTATGATCGATGAGGTGAAATTTGCATCCAATCTTTTGTTTCTTGGTGACAGGCAAAAAATTAGCTTTTTGGGGACGAGGTTGAAGCGATTGGCTAAAATGAATACTGTATTTCCCAAGTTGTACTTTTTGCTCCCACAGTTTAATGCCACTGAAATTGGTATGTCTTAAATTCAGTGTATGCATTTAATATGGTAGGTTTTTTTTCCCTAAAAAACTGTTATTAAATAGTATCTTAAAATGTGTGGCATGTTAGAAGCAAGAAAATATTATAAATCCTTTATAGATTATTTATTTGGTTTTTTGTGTGTGTGTGTGTGAGGAAGATCAGCCCTGAGCTAACATCCATGCTAATCCTCCTCTTTTTGCTGAGGAAGACCAGCTCTGAGCTAACATCTATTGCCAATCCTCCTCCTTCCCCCCCCGCCAAAGCCCCAGTAGATAGTTGTACGTCATAGTTGCACGTCCCTCTAGTTGCTGTATGTGGGACGCGGCCTCAGCATGGCCGGAGAAGCGGTGCCTCGGTGCGCGCCCGGGATCTGAACCCGGGCCGCCAGTAGCGGAGCAAGCATACTTAACCGCTAAGCCACGGGGCCGGCCCTATAGATTATTTATTTGTATGGTCCTTTGTCATTGCTAATATAAATTCTTGAGAGATGACTATTAAGATTTGTATATTTCATAGATTGGGGATCTATGCAAAATTTTTGTGTAAATTGTACTTTTGTAAATAAAATCCATGTATATGCACAGAGAACGCTTTATTAAAGTCCCTGTAGAGTGATTCATTTTATAAAGAATTTTTTTAAAAAGGAAAATGATAGCTTTTTGTAAAGAACACTTTTTATGTGAATATTCCCTTCCCAATTTATCTTTAAGTGTGTGCTTTTAGACTCTGTCTAATAATCTAATAAAGGATTATTAGACCTGTCTAACCCAGTGGTCACATACATTTGTTAACTACCTCAATAGATCTGTTAACTTGATTTCTGAAATTATCCAATTAAATTTTTTAAAAAATCTGATAATATTCATATGTTTAATCATGCATGTGTAACTGTTAAGTACTCTTCTTGCGGTTATATTTTTTCTTTGTATTCTTTTTTAATAAAATTAAAAATAATAACTTGTATCTGAAGACTTTATTTGGCTTTACATAAATCTTCATTCTTGTTGACCACTTCTAATTTTTGCTTTAACCCATAGTGGGGGAAAATTAAAAGGGCATCATGAAGAAGGAAGATAATAATATTTATTAGTTGGCCCAGATTTGTATGCAAAAATACTCAGAATCCTCAGTATGGCTTTTTTAATAATAACATCATTTTTTAATGTATTGATTGGCTTTGCTACTTAAAATGACTACGAAATTAATGATAGTATAGAAATGGTTAAAAATTAGACTAGTCAGACTGAATCCAGTAAATGTATAGTATTTTTTTCTCACTATGCCAGTGTTTAAAGATATTTTTGCAAACATGAATTTGCTTTGAAGCTATTTAAAAATACATTTATTTTATTCATTTTCCATAGTAAACTTAGAGAACCATCCATCTGACCATCAGCAACAGTAGCTGATTCATTTCTCCTTTTTTGACTTCTTTTTAGGCTCATATTTGATAGACTAAAGTCATTACTAAGAGAAAAGAAAAGCTCTCCTTTGCTTCTCTAAGGAGGAGATAAATTCTTGTACCACCTTATAACTTGACAGGACATTCTGCACCTACACGACAGTCGTAGTCTACCCCATAAGATAATTAATTCTAGGGAGGAAAAGTAGTGAAGTTGAAGACAGTAAATTCCTATTTAATTTGAAATTTAGTTTACTGGTTTTGAGGTACTTTCTGCATTACATTTTTTTTATCAGAGGTAGAAAGGGTAGATAGTCTAATATTGGGGAATTTTCTGAGAGCTTCCCAAATATAGGGATATTTATAGGTTCAGCCTATTTTCTGCTACCTAAATCTATAAGACTGTTGAATGATAATGATACCACAGCACTGTGAAATTCTACAGAACTTTCAGGATTATTAAAAAAATGAAGTATAGTTTCATGAGCAATGTATTTTATTATATTTTGATTTTTAAAAAATCATTAATCCGTGAATGATGTGTATGGTGCTTTCAGGTAACTAAAATAAGCAGCTTATTTGTTAAATAACACTTGTTTCCCAATCATTCTGGAAAAGAGTTTACTTGTTTTGGGATAGTTTGAAAATAGCATCATCTCAGGAGAAGAGCGCATTGATTTATCAGTAGGACTGAAAGCACGGGTTGGAGTTGGGACCTGTATTGTCTTTGTAGGAAAGACAGTTTTGTGGGAAGTGCTAAAATAATTATGAAAAAAGTTATCTTTGGTACTAATTGGTCTCCATGTGACTTTTGTCTTAGTATAATAAAAGTTAATCATTTTGGGATACAGACAGAATAATTTGATACACACATTGCAATAACTTCTCAAATATTTTAAGGACCAATTATAGAACTGCGCCAAAGAAAAAAGCCAAAGTCTTCAGAAAATAAAGAATCTGCCAAAGAAGAGAAAATCAATGACACTCCAGTTCCTGAAAGAGCTCCAAAACGTAAGTTAGATAGATTTGTTGGAGTTTTTGTGCTACTACAAAAATAGTTATGCTAGGTAGTATATATTATGTTAATGTTTTAAATGAATAAACATATTTTGTGGTTAAGTATGCAATGATATCAGTCAACTTGCATTAGGTTTTGCTGTAGAAAAACCCCTAAATCTCACTGGCTTACAACAAACATTTATTTCTGATTAACGTTACATGTTGTGGCTGCAGGTTGGCTGATGTAGCTTCATGTGTCATGAAGGGGCAGCCCCTACTGGGGACATGTTTTTCTTGTGGCAGAGAAAAAGAGCAGGAGAGCAGGCAGAATCACGCAGTGCCTCTTCAAGTTTCTGCCGAACTGGCACACTGTCACTTGTACCTACATTCGCTTGGCCTGAGCAAGTCATGTAATCAATCTAGACAATGGGACGGAGAAGTATGCTCTGACTACAGGGAAGCGTTGCAAGTCACATAGTACTAGGCAGGGATGAATAATCTTTTTATAGGGAAGGAAAAGATAGTTGGGGATAATAATAACGTAGTAGTAATAATAATATTATCATGATAATAACAGTCTACTGCATTCTGTCCTTTTGGTCATAAATATTTACTTCTCTCCCTCAGACAAAATACCTTCGCTACCTCCCCCGCCCCCAGGAAGACACTCAGTCTTATCCAGAAGTGGCATCAGTCTTGAAGACCGTGGGCTTCATCAGGGACAGCTATTACTCATTCTGATCCTGAGACCTGTGAATTAAAAAGACAAGTTATCTGCTCTGTGTCAGGGGTGCCCAAGACCACCTCTGTGTTTGGAGATTAGCTAGAAGGACTCCCAGGTCTCAGAATATAGTTATATTCACAGCTATGATTTATTACAGTGAACAATTTAAGAAAAAGTCAGCAAAGGGAAAAGGCCTATGGGTTGAAGTTCACAGGAAACTAGGCACAACCTTCCAAGATTCCTCTCCCAGTGAACTCACACAGTATGTGCTCTATTCCTTCAGCATCAAATTGTGACATTTGTAGTTTTGTCTACCAAGGAAGCTCATAGCAACTCTGCCTAGGGTTTTTATTGGTGGCTGGTCATGCACCCTCTGCCTACCACATACCAAAATTCTAGACTCCCAGAAGGAAAGTGGTCAACATGAACCACATTGTTTGTACAAGCAAGTTAGGTTCAGTAAACCACACTTATCAGTTAGAGAATGGTGGGAACCCTCCTGAAATCCCAGTTCCCAGATGCCAGTCAAGAGCCTACCTTGCAAGCAGGCCTTTCTTAGCAAAGCAGTTGCAGGCCTGCTTTGCTCATTCTTTTCTGCACATGCCTCCTCTCCCATTATATGTTGTTGGACAGGGCCAGGATAACCAAAATAAATGCTTCCATTCAGAGAGAGCAAGAGTGAGAGAGACACATCAGCCGCTGGTCCATAGCATTTCTGAAATCCTACTAGGTAAATTTGAGGTCTCCTTACTCTGGGGTAGAGAATGTTTTTTGATTAGGCCCCAGTTGTTTTCCTTAGGAGTAGCTTCCCAGTTCCTTGTTCTTCGTGGTCCTTGGTTCCACCCTCTGGAGGTCCTTCCTTTTCCATTATCCTCCTGAACCATGTCTGAAGATGGCTTTGGAGAATATGCCATCCTTAGGAGCTGAATAGCTTTCTCATATTGCTTCCTGCCCATAAAGAGGTGAGGGCCCATTTATATATATTTGCTCAAATAAGGTAAAGGCAATGGGTCATCTACAGATCTAGTTCAGGGACTAGCAGCAAGAAAACTTTTTGGGAGCTGGAAAAATAATAATCCCTATTGTGCAGTCACAAAACATTTTATGAAACTGTTTCCTGTGAATAGTCGCAATTTTAATACTAATTTTTTATTGTTTTAGGTAACAAGATTGCAAAACAGAATGTTACTAGAGTCCCTTGGTTATCAGCTGCATTTGATTATAGGAAAGAGATGAATTTAGAACACAGTTGGCCTATTTGCAAGCGGGAATGAAGAGGAAAATAGAGAATCCAAAATTTCTGGGACTTAGTAGTGTTGAAGTTAGAACTGATTGTCTTTTCAACCAGTAAAAAATAAAATCAAGAAATACTTTGAGGGGCCAGCCCTGTGGCATAGCAGTTAGGTGCGCATGTTCCACTGCTGGCGGCCCGGGTTCGGATCCCGGGTGCGCACTGATGCACCGCTTGTCAAGCCATGCTGTGGCCACGTCCCATATAAAGTGGAGGAAGATGGGCAGAGATGATAGCTCAGGGCGTCTTCCTCAGCAAAAAGAGGAAGATTGACATGGATGTTAGCTCAGGGCTGATCTTCCTCAAACAACAAAAAAAACAATACTTTGAGTAACAAAGACTGATTAAGATGAATCCTCAGGGCAGTGACCAAATCAAGGACAAGGCTGTCAACACAGTTTGTTAAATGTGTGAATGGATTAAGGTAGTTCCCAGTAAGTCCTTTCAGCTGGACAAAGCTCTCAGGGCGAAAAAGGACAAAGGATGCAGTCCCATAAAAGCATGATAAGCTCAAGATACACGTAGTTAAATCTTTGAGAGAGGCATATCTAGAAAAAAAATTGTAGGTATAGTTACTAGAATATGAAGCTGACTGGAATCAATTAGGTAAAAGGCCAACAAAATTGTTAATTTTCTTTGCAAAGATGAGTGATATAATTTTGTGAAATTAATGTACAATTAATATACCATAAAATGCACAGAATCTTAGGTGTTTAATTAAATGACTTTGACACTTGAATACAGCTGAAACAAGATACAGAACGTTTCCATTATCCCAGAAAGCCCCTTTGTATCTCTTTCCAGGAAGTAGATTTCCCCTGTACCCCCCAAGACAACCACTCTTCTGGTATTTTTCAATATTGATTAATTAACTTTGCCTGTTTTAGAATTTCATATAAATGGAATCATACAACATGTATGCCTTTGTGTTTGGATTCTTTCACTTAGCTCAGTATGTTATCCTTTAAAAACATAGTCAGTTGAGAGTCATTCATGTTGCTTAATTATTTATCCCTTCTTTTCTTGTTAAGTAGTTTCTAGTATTTAGCTATTATTAATAAGGCTGCCATGAACATACTTGTACAAATCTTTTTGTGAACATCTGTTTTTATTTCTCTTGGGTAAGTACCTAGGAGAATTGTTGGCTGAGCTTTTGAGAGAGATGTACTGTCAAAAGAACTCCAGTCTAGATTAAAAAGGACACAACTCTTCAGGTCTTAAAATAATGTATGAGTTCCTAGCTTGACGTGCAGGAAGCAGGCTGAGTAAGCTGCTCTGAGGGTATCTTTCTTGAGAAGTAGTGAGTGTATTTTGCCTTTGGAAGGGAAGTGAATATTTGTGACTAGTGGGGCAGACCCTGGTGGACCTTTTATTGTTCCCAGATGTTAGCTATCTCACTTAAAAGTGGATGATAATCACCTCCCGTTGGCATGTGATTTGGATGCCTCTTCCCTACCTGTTGTCGGGCTTACTGTGTGACTTGCCTGGGCCAGCAGAATGAGTGGAAAAAGCAGTGTACTAGTTCTGACCAGAAACTGTAAGAGGCGTTGTATGCTTCTGCCTATTCTCCTGTTCTTTTTCTCTGTCATGAGAACAGCATGTCCCAAATAGGGACTGATCCCAGTCTGGAACTCTGAAGAAGATATAAGGAGAAGACCCACAACTAATCTGAAGTCTGGAATTGGGTGTAGAGTCACTGCTGACCCATTTCCCACAAGTAATCAGTGAGAAATAAATCTTTGTTTCATAAGCCACTGATAGTTTGGGTTCACTTTTTTTTTTTTTTGCTGATAAAGATTCACCCTGAGCTAACATTTGTGCCAATCTCCCTCTATTTTGTATGTGGGTCACTGCCACAGTATGGCCACCGACAAGTGGTATGGTCTGTGCCCGGGAACTGAACCTGGGCCGCTGAAGCAGAGTGCATCAAACTTAATCACTAGGCCATGGTTCTGGCCCCTTGAGGTCACTTCTTTATCACAGCAAAGCTGACTAATAGAGTGGTCATTTAAAACATTTTGGAAAATACAATATAAGAAACATAATAAACAATTCAGAGATAACTACTATAAAATAGTATTTTCTTTCTAACTACAAAAATATATTTTTAGGGTAGAAAATGTAGAACATAGAGAAAAGTATAATAGAAATAAAATGTATGAATAATTCCAGTAGATATAATACTCTTAAAATTTTGGTAAGTATTGCTTATATTTTTTTCAATGTATTTATACTTTTTCTTTTTTTTTTTTTACTTTTTGTGAAATTGAATCCTACATTTCTTTTCTTAACATGTCATTAGCTTTTTCCTGTGCTTTAAAGGTTACTTAACTATGCCCTATATTATTGATATTGACATTTATGTAGTTTTCTTTTTTGTGTGTGCATGATTAGCATTTTACAAGTGACGGGATAACACAGGTAACACAGATAACACAGAAGTTATCTGATTAGGCTGGTTAATGACTAACATAACGTAATTGGAAGTCAGATCCTTTACTTTTCAGTTTTCCAATTAAAATGATAATTTTTTAAAACAATGATTTCCAGAGCCTAGAGCTCTTTATTTTCTCTAAAATGTATACACTTAAACCAAACACTGATAGCTTGATTCCATCTTTGACTCTTTACAGAAAAACTTTCAAAAGCAGAATATTTAGTATCAATGTAGGGCATTAATATATAGGATTTGGTTTAATATATTTTGTATAATAGCCCCTGATAATTAGGATTAATTTGCCGTAGTCTAAGACTTAATGGAAAAAAAACAGAAATAGATAAACGTTCAGAAACTTGGAACTACTTTTGTCAAACTGCCACCATAGATAAGTTTTTTCCTATTCGTTTTTTATAGTTCATATCATGTCAACATTGCTTTAACTATCATATATTTTTGCAAGTATGCTTCTGTAGCCCAATGATAATAGTTAGTATCACTTACTATGTGCCAGGCCAAATGCTTTACACATGCTATTGGAAACAGTAATTTTAAAACGTATCATACTGATACTAATATTTGATTTATTGGGTAGTGCTTTTCAAGCATTTTGAATATAATTCTTATTAATTTAGTGATATCTAACTAGTTAGTCTATTTAATGTCTCTAGTATGCTATGTAAACTAATATTTATTAAATAATGTTTTGAAAATAGCCAAGATTTTAGGTTAACTAGACTAATCAACACGCTGATTTTTACACATCTGTCAGTCGTTCAGTAGTAGAACACTGGGCTTTGGGCCCTTAGCCCGGTGCTCATATACTTAATCTTAACACCTCTAGCAGGACTAAATCATCCTGTGTGTAGAAAATCCAAATGTGTGTTATGTTATTTCATTAAGAAGTAGTTACGTATATATGACAGTTGTATATGATGTTTTAAATACATAAGCATCTAAAGTCATTGAATTATACACTTTAAATGGCTGTAATTGGGGCCGGCCTGGTGGCTTAGCAGTTAAGTGTGCACGTTCCACTTTGGTGGCCCGGGGTTCGCAGGTTTGGATCCCAGGTAGGCACCAACGCACGGCTTGTCAAGCCGTGCTGTGGCAGCGTCCCGTATAGAGTAGAGGAAGATGGGCACAGATGTTAGCCCAGGGCTAATCTTCCTTACACACACACAAAAAATAAATGGCTGTGATTTATAGTACGTAAATTATTCCTCAATAAAGAAAAAAATTCCTTGATAAGGAAAACATCTCAACAGTAATTCTGAATGAATCTGTATTTTTTCTTTAGATATTTGCTAGTACCTTCCTTTTTCTTAATTAATAGACTTTAATTTTAAAAACCATTTTTGATTTATAGAACTGAGCAGATAGTACAGAGTTCCCATGTTACAACCCCCCAACACACAGTGTTTACTCTATTATTAACATTTTATATTAGTATGATACATTTGTTACAATTAATGAACCAATATTGATACTTTTTTTTTTTTTGTGAGGAAGACTAGCCCTGAGCTAACATCCATGACAATACTCTTCTTTTTGCTAAGGAAGATTGGCCCCCTGGGTGAACATCCGTGCCTGCCAGGCTTCCTCTACTTTATATGGGACGTCGCCACAGCATGGCTTGACAGGCGTGTGTCGGTGCGCGCCCAGGATCCGAACCTGCGAACCCCAGGCCGCCGAAATGGAGTGTGTGCACTTAACTGCTGCGCCACTGGGCGGCCCCCAATGATACATTATTTTTAACTAAAGTCCACACTTGGTTGAGATTTCCTCAGTTTTTACCTAATGTCCCTTTTCTGTTCCAAGATCCCACCCAGGACGTCACATTACAGTTAGTTGTCATGTCTCCTTAGACTTCTCTTGGCTGTGGCAGTTTCTCAGGCTTTCGTTGTTTTTGATGACCTTGTCAGTTTTGAGGACTCCTCGTCAGACACTGTAGGATGCGCCTCTGTTGGAACTGGTCTGCTGTTTTTCTCATGATTACACTGCGGTTATGGGTTTTGGGAAGGAAGACCACAGAGTTAGAGTGTCATTTTTATCACATCATATCAAGGGTACATACTACCTTTGGATTGCTTTTTCTTTTTTAATAAAAGTACATGTATCATCTACATCTGATTACTTTGAATGTGCTCTTTTCAGATGTATTATTTCAGCGCTTTGCAAAGATTTTCATTGGCTGTCTTGCAGCAGTTACTAGTGGTATGATGTATGCTCTCTATTTATCAGCATACCATGAACGGAAATTCTGGTTTTCCAACAGGCAGGTAAGGAGAAAGAATTTTGAGCATGTGAAAGTTGTTTTAGTATTAATTTAAGTAATGTGTTTACCAGTGAGCCAAAATATATGTGTGTAGTGTGACAAGTGCTTTCTTCTTTATAGCCATTAGAAACAAAATGATGTAGAAGCTGTTTTGAGAACACAGTGACGGTATCATGCTTGAAAAATTTAATAGAATGTATTTCAAGGCCATAGAATGGAAACTGTGAGGGTGCTTTCCTCGTGCAATTAATTTATCAGCGATTTCTGATGACAGTGAAATGTTGTGGAGTTTAGGCAGCTTTTTAGTAGTTTTGATAGTTTACATTTCAGCAACAATCTATGGAAGTTTCAGCATCAAAATAGTTTTGTTTTTAGGTTACATAAATGAACATTTTGGGGGTTTGAAAATGATTAACAGTACTTATTAAGATGTTGTCTCATAGTAGTATGTTTAATGTTTGGTTTTAAATCACAGAATCTTTAATCACTATAACTTTATTCATAATTCTTTTGGCGTTTGAATAAGTTTGTTTTCAGAGTTACCTTCACAATCAGATATAACTGTAATATGCGTTGGCAAAGTTCACGGTGTTACCACTCGCCTCTAAAGGGTTTTGTTGTTTTTTTTTTTTAGTCCAAATAATTTTTTGTTCTTACTTTTGAGCAAGTAGTCAAGCTGCCTAAATGTTTTTAAGCCCTTGATATACCTAACACCACCAAAATATTTAACTGAATAATTACTTACCTGTATTGATTTGACAAAGGCTGTTACTGGAGCATATCATATTTCCTTGAAAAATGTTATGCAGATTAGCTATTAGTAGTTCTCAACACTGGATGTATGGTAGAATCATCTGGGGAGCTTTCAAAAAATAACCTCCCTCACAGATTCTTAGGTGAGGGGAGTATCTGGGATCAGTATTGCACAAAATATTTTCAGGCAATTTCTGTTGTGTAGGCAGAACTGAGAACAACCAAAGGTTTGAAAATATAGAAGCCATTCATGAAGAACCTTGTTTTTCAAAGCATTGTGTATGAGCCAGGAGCATTGGCATCATCTGGGAGCTTTTTCAGAATTGCAGATTCTCAGGTCCTACCTTAGAATCTACATGTTAATAAGATCTCTAGGGGCCGGCCCCATGGCTTAGCGGTTAAGTGCGTGCGCTCTGATGATGGCGGCCCGGGTTCGGAACCCTGGGCGCACACCGAGGCACTGCTTCTCCGGCCATGCTGAGGCCGTGTCCCACATACAGCAACTAGAAGGATGTGCAGCTATGACATACAACTATCTACTGGGGCTTTGGGGGAGAAAAATAAATAAATAAATAAAATTAAAAAAAGATCTCTAGGAGTTTCATGTGCACATTAAATCTGAGAAATGCTGATTAAGAGTTTACGTCTTGGAAATCTTAGAAAGAAACAAGTCTGTTTTCATTAATAAAAAATCATTTTAGTAAAATTTGTTTAGATTAATAAGCTCTAAATGAGAGAAAAGGGTTCACTGGTCAAATAGATCTGGGAACAACTTCCTCTTAGAGATTCACAATGCATAATGTATACTGAAACCTTGAAAAGTCTTGCAATAAAGAAACTCATTTAACTTTTTTCAAGCCAGCCTTTTGCATAACTTATTTAACTATAGAACTTTTTTTAGGTAACACCCATTTATATCTTAGGAAGTTGTGATGATCAAACTTTGGGAAAACTGCTCTGATATCTTTTATTTTTCTGTTAATTGGTAAATATTATGTGTGAAAATAAACGAGTTTCATTTTAAAAGATTATAGATTTGTGAAAGCTTGATTCAGCATGAAAAGCACCAGGTTTTCCAATGTTTTGAACTACCTATGTTCTTGGTTCTGTGTAGCCTAATTTTAAGATTTGCTTATATTTCTGGAAGTTCCTTTGAAAAGCACTGATTAGGTATCTGATGCTCTTGAAAAGTACTAATTAAGGGCTTGCTCTTCTAGATACATAGGGAAGAGGAATAGCAGTAGAAAATACTACTGTCTTCTTTTTTTTTTTAATTAATTAATTAATTAATTAATTTTTCCCCAAAGCCCCAGTAGATAGTTGTATGTCATAGTTGCACATCCTTCTAGTTGCTGTATGTGGGACGTGGCCTCAGCATGGCCAGAGAAGCGGTGCGTCGGTGTGCACCCGGGATCCGAACCCGGGCCACCAGCAGCGGAGCGCCCGCACCTAACCGCTAAGCCACGGGGCCGGCCCCTACTGTCTTCTTAAACTTATGTTTTTATTGTGGACTTCTGACACCTCAACCATCATTTTTTATTACCTGCCTTACTATTCTCGCTGTCCTTAGGGCATTTATTTTCCTTTTCCTTCTAGATTTTCCTTATATATAATAGGTAAATGACTTATGAGTTACAATCCATTTTAAACCTTAGATGTTTTATTAAAATGATTTCCAGGTTATTAAAAAAGCTTAACCTCATTAATATGGCCACTAGTGATTAAAGGAAAATTCAAACATATCTTTGAATTAAAGGATAAATAAATAGCATTAGTCTAGAAGATGAGGAGAGAGAAGGAAGATTGTAGTTGAAATTTAGGACACTGGTATTTAATCATTTTATTTTCTTTTAGGAGCTGGAACGGGAAATCACATTTCAGGGTGCCAGTGCCATTTATTACTCTTATTATAAAGATATGTTAAAGGCCCCTTCATTTGAAAGAGGTATGATAACCACATTTGTATTTTTGTGTGTGTGTGAGGAAGATCAGTCCTGAGCTAACATCTGATGCCAATCCTCCTCTTTTTGCTGAGGAAGATTGGCCCTGGGCTAACATCTGTGCCCATCTTCCTCTACTTTATATGGGACGCCGCCACAGCATGGCTTGACAAGCAGTGCATTGGCGCGTGCCCGGGATCCTAACCTATGAACCCTGGGTGACCCAAGTGGAGCACGCACACTTAACTGCTACGCCACTGGCTGGCCCCCACATTTGCATTCTTTTTTTTGTGTGTGAGAAAGATCAGCCCTGATCTAACATCCATGCCATTCCTCCTCTTTTTGCTGAGGAAGACCGGCCCTGAGCTAACATCCATGCCCATCTTCCTCCACTTTATGTGAGACGCTGCCACAGCATGGCCTGACAAGCAGTGTGTCTGTGCATGCCCAGGATCCAAACCCGGGCCACCAGCAGTGGAGCACGCGCAGTTAACCACTACGCCACGGGGCCGGCCCTGCATTTTTAATAACAATATTTTTCTGAAATAAAACAGTGTTCCATTTGGGAGCCCTTGAATGTGGAGATTTGTGTCAGAATGTAGGTATTGTTCTTTCTTGTATTTAATAAAACAATTGGAAAAATGAGGCACAGAGTATTATATTTTGAGATCTTTCTTGATAATGATTCAAAATATTTAATGACCTCTGAATGACATGTTTAAATAATATAAAAGTAGAATAAATAATCTGGAGAAAAATTTTTCTGTCTTTAGGTGTTTATGAACTGACACACAATAACAAAACTATATCTCTGAAGACTATAAATGCAGTGCAGCAAATGTCTCTATATCCAGAACTTATTGCCAGCGTTTTGTATCAAGCAACTGGTAGCCATGTATGTGTTTTTCTTTTGACTTATTTTTTATTTCCTCACATATTTATGAATGCTCAAAATTATTTAATGTCATCCTGTTATCTCCTTCTCTTTTTTTTTTCCAATTAGGAGATTATTGAGCCAGTGTATTTCTATATTGGCATTGTTTTTGGATTGCAAGGGATATATGTTACTGCTTTATTTGTTACAAGTTGGCTTATGAGTGGAACATGGCTAGCAGGAATGCTAACGGTTGCATGGTTCATTATTAACAGGTAAGAAAGATGTTTTTAATTAAGATTTACAATTTTTTGTGGCTTTTGTATTCAGTTCTAAAAATTACACCCCCTCCCCAATATTCCACACCCTAATCCCCTCCTGTGAATATGAGGAGATATCATTGCTGTGATTGTCATATGGCACAGTTGACCTTAAGGTAGGAAGATGACCTGGTGGGGCTGATCTAATCGTATGAGCCCCTAAAAGAGGAGAGCTTTCTCCAGCTGGTGCAGAAGGGAAAGTCAGAGATATTCAAAGCATGAGAAGGATTTGCTCTGCTGTTGTTGGACTGAAATGAGGAAGAAATGAATTCTGCCATCAGCCAGTGAGCTTGTAAAAGGACTGCAAGCCCAGGATGGAAACTGCAGCCCTGGCTGATACTTTGATTTTAGCTTTGGGAGACCCTGAGCAGACAGTCCACCCATCTGTGCTGGGTTTGCGAGCTAATAAATTTGTGTTGTTTTAAGCTGCTACATTTGTGGTCATTTGTCATGCAACAGTTGAAAAATAATATACCTGCCTTGTATCTCTCTTTTTTCAGATTTAGCAACATTGTCATGTATGGGTAAACCTCTTCTTTCCTCTTTTATTTAACACTGATGACATAGCTTCATGAAAAGAAGGAAGAGGCATCAGATACATCATTAAGTTAATTACCACAGATAAGGATTCTGTATTAATCTATGACAAGGTGCTTTGAATTAATAAACCCATCCCTTTTGGTGATCAAAGCAGCCTCAGTTCTTTAATAGGAAGTAAATAGAGAGTAGAGGATGGGACTTCTTTGAAAGGGAGGGCTAGGGGCTGGCCCCGTGGCTTAGCGGTTGGGTGCACGCACTCCGCTAGTGGCGACCCGGGTTCGGATCCCGGGCACACACTGACGCACCGCTTCTCTGGCCATGCTGAGACAACATCCCACATACAGCAACTAGAAGGTTGTGCAACTATGACATACAGCTATCTACTGGGGATTTGGGGGAAAAAAAGGAGGAGGATTGGCAATAGATGTTAGCTCAGAGCCGGTCTTCTTCAGCAAAAAGAGGAGGATTAGCACGGATGTTAGCTCAGGGCTGATCTTCCTCACACACACACACAAAAAAAAGAAAGGGAGGGCTCATTTGAGACATGTCAAAAATTTTCTTGGCATTGGTCAGTGTCAAAAGTTTATTTTTTGTTTTTGTTTTTGTTTTTGTTTTTTTAATTTTTATTTATTTATTTATTTTTCCCCAAAGCCCCAGTAGATAGTTGTATGTCATAGTTGCACATCCTTCTAGTTGCTGTATGTGGGACACAGCCTCAGCATGGCCGGAGAAGTGGTGCGTCGGTGCTCGCCAGGGATCTGAACCTGGGCCGCCAGCAGCGGAGTGCGCGCACTTAACTGCCAAGCCGTGGGGCCAGCCCAAAAGTTTATTTTTTGAATGATGGATATTCTTCTTCCTCTCCATAACACTTTTCCCCCGATAACACTTAACATGATTAAATGTTTTAAAATGAAACATTTCTGGGGCCAGCCCCGTGGCTTAGGGGTTAAGTGCGCGCGCTCTGCTACTGGCGGCCCGGGTTCGGATCCCGGGCACGCACCGACGCACCGCTTCTCTGGCCATGCTGAGGCCGTGTCCCACATACAGCAACTCGAAGGATGTGCAACTATGACATACAATTATCTACTGGGGCTTTGGGGAAAAAAAAAAAAGGAGGATGATTGGCAATAGATGTTAGCTCAGAGCTGGTCTTCCTCAGCAAAAAGAGGAGGATTAGCAAGGATATTAGCTCAGAGCTGATCTTCCTCACAAAAAAAATAAAATAAATAAAATAAAATGAAACATTTCTTCTGTTGTACATTTCTTTCAGCAATTGCCAGATGAAAAATATGATACCTATAAGTTATTGAGAGTCAGCATTAAGGGCTGTATCTCGTACCAGGCTCTGTTAGAGTCACATGCTGGCAACAATTTGATATAAAGGATTTTTTAAATCTTCCTTAGCAGTTTTCGAGTATAGCCATCCAGCTTTATGGTTTCAGTATATTTCTTCTTAAAAACACAGGGATGAACCAAACTTTATTTTTGCAAAAGGAATATATGTATGTTGTAGAAAATTAAAACCAGCAACAATAAAATAATAACTTCACATTCCCACCACCTAGAGATCACTCAGCATTTTTTATACCTTGGTGCCTTTCTTTTAGATCTTTTTCTATGTGAATATCCATGTGAATGTATATGTATATGTGTATGCATGTATATATTTGTATATGTATTTTTTGCTAAAATGAGATATATTGCGGATACTGTTTTATATGTGCTTTCTTTATTTGCCAGTCTCTTCTTTCCATTTCAATAACTATCTTATCTAATACCCAATCCATATTACAGTTTTCCCCATTGACCTTAAAATAACCTATTTAGCTGGTTTATCCAAACCAGTATTTAATCCAGGACCACATATTGCATCTGGTTGTTATATTCCTTAATTCTCTTTAACTTTAATGTAGTCCCTTTTTATGACAGTGGCTTGTTGAAGGGACTGAGTCAGTTGTCCTACAGAATGTCCCACTGCATGGATTTCTCTTGTTGCTTCTTTGTGGCATCATCTAGCTTTTTCCTCTATTTCTTGTGTTTCTGTAAGTTGGAAGTTATATCTAAAAGCTTAATGGGTTCAAGATAAACAATTCTGGTTTGAATATATTATTGATGATGTGTTTTTCATGTTCCATGCCGTTAGAAGTTATGTGGTATTTAGTTGGCCTACCCCTAGAGAAGCTGAGATTGAGTGCTGGTTTGGAGAGTGACAGTCTGATCTGTCTATTGAATAGTTGTGTTTTCCTCTTATGACTAGAAAATAATCTGTATGGTGTTTTGGGGCACCAAATCAATGTTGTTTTCACCATTAACCATTTACCTAAGTGTTGTAACTCCAGTTGATAATCTTTCCCGAAATTAATAATTTCATTGGGGTTTATAAAATTATATTTTTCTATTTTCAATAGCCAAATTCTTCAATCTTCAAAGGTAGAATTTTTCTTTAATCAAGGTTACCTTGTTTGTCTTTGAATTCAGTTACTATTAGAAAGTCAGGACAAATGCTTAATTTCACTTTAATTACCAATTTTTAAGTAAGATTGTTTTAGTAGCTGTCTCAGAAAATGATAAAAACTTTTTCTCATGTTCTTTTTTTTTTTTGTGAGGAAGATCAGCCCTGAGCTAACATCCATGCCAATCCTCCTCTTTTTGCTGAGAAAGGCTCTCAGCTAACATCTATTGCCAATCCTCCTCCTTTTTTCCCCAAAAGCCCCAGTAGATAGTTGTATGTCATAGTTGCACACCCTTCTAGTTGCTGTATGTGGGACGCGGCCTCAGCATGGCCGGAGAAGTGGTGCATCGGTGCGCGCCCAGGATCCGAACCCGGGCCGCCAGCAGCGGAACGCGCGCACTTAATGGCTAAGCCACGGGGCGGCCCTCGTGTTCTTTTTATCTTTCTCTACTTAGGGATTTTCATTGATTTAATAGGACTAAATCCATTACTATCATTGTTCTTTTTGTTGCTCAAATTGTCACAACTTTGGTCAATAGGAGTCCTTTCAGGCTGACTTCTGAGTTCTTTTGACACATATTCATTAGTCTTTGAAAGCTTGCTTGTTTTCTGGCTCAACAGGCTCACCTTGTGCGTTCCCTGTGATAGATTGGAGTTAGCCGTTGCTCTGTGGAGCTCTGGTTCCTTTTAGTATGTAACAGTATTTGAGGATCTGGTATGGATGCTGGGGGATAAGATGATTTCTTGTTATGTCAGAAAGTGCCTGTTAGAGAATATTTTACGTTGACATATACTTTTCTAAAATTCTCTTAGGATTCATTGTTAGAAATTTAATAGCACACTCACAGAAAGTTATTTTAGTACTTGTAGACTAGGTCTAGAAAGTCTTGCTTTTTAGAGTGAAATGGTATTTAGTATAAAACAAGCATTATTTAAATGCTTCTGTGTTTTTTTTTTTTGAGGAAGATCGGCCCTGAGCTAACATCTGCCAATCCTCCTCTTTTTGCTGAGGAAGACCAGCCCTGGGCTAACATCCATGCCCATCTTCCTCCACTTTATGTGGGACGTCGCCACAGCATGGCTTGACAAGCAGTGCGGTGGTGCGCGCCCAGCATCCGAACCAGCGAACCCCGGGCCGCTGCAGTGGAGCATGCGCACTTAACCGCTTGCGCCACCAGGCCGACCCCAGCATTATTTAAATGCTAGATCTAAATCCTTTTAGAAGGTCTAAAATGATTGCTTTCTTGAATATGCGATAGATTAGTTATTGCTGCATAACAAATCATCCCAAAACTTAACAACTTAAAAGAACAAACATGGGGCTGGCCTGGTGGTGCAAACGGTTAAGTGTGTGCACTCTGCTGCGGCGGCCCGGGGTTAGCCGGTTCACATCCTGGGCGCGCACTGACGCACCGCTGGGCAAGCCATGCTGTGGCGGCATCCCATATAAAGTGGAGGAAGATGGGCATGGATGGTAGCCCACGGCCGGTGTTCCTCAGCAAAAAGAGGAGGATTGGCAGATGTTAGCTCAGGGCCAATCTTCCTCACAAAACAACAACAACAACAACAACAAATATTATCTCACACAATTTCTGAAGGTCAGGAGTCCAGAGTAACTTAGCTGGCTGGTTCTGGTTCAGGGCCTCTTACGAGGTTGCAGTCAAGAGTTGGTTGGGGCTACAGTCATCTAAAAGCTTGACGGGCCTGGACCATTTCCTTCCAGGCTCACTCATGTGGCTGTTTACAAGAAGCCTTGATTGCTTACTGGCTGCTGACCTAGGCCTTAGTTTCTCATCACTCTCCACAGGGCCTCTCCATAGGGCTGTTCACAGCTTGGCTGCTGGCTTCCTGTATAGTGAATGATCCAAGAGAGTAGAGTGAGTATGCCATAGTGGAAGCCAGGTCTCTTTTATAGCCTAATCTCAGAAATGATGTGACATCACTCTGCCATATTCTGTTGGTTGCACAGACTAACTGTGGTGCCGTGTGGGAAGTGACTATAGAGGGTGTTAGTACTGAGAGGTAGGGAACATTGCGGACCATCTTGGAGGCTGGCTACCACATGCAGTGAACTTGTAATATTCATTTCATTTAATCCCCAGACTTCCTTCATCAGAAATTTGAAGAGGAAGCCCAGACAACTTTTCCATGTAAAAATAACAGCATTAAAGAATAATAAGACTCCCTCTCAAATAGAATATTTTAGAGATCTTAGTGAGAATTGTGAGGAAATGGCCTTATTTAATGACAAAACATGTCCTAGGTAGCTGGAGCAGGAGTTAGGTAGAAAAATTAACCTGATATAGTCTGCTAAAATGTATCTTTGGTCAATTGAAACATTCTTAGCAAGTAGTTTTTTTAATGTTTATTTTGCATTTTGTTTATTTTTTATTGGTATATATCTTATACTGCAAAATATATTTTAATGCCAGGAAAGAATATGCTCTCTTTTTTATTCATCAGGAATGCACATGTCTGAGAGGTACAGTTAACAGAAATAATGGTAACCATGATGCTGGTTCTGTTGTGATGATATTGGTATACTCAGGATGCTCATGGAGGTGTAAGTTTTTTCAGTTTTAGGTGGTAGTTTTTTTCCAGGAATTCCATTTTATTCTGAGGAAGTAATCCCAAACAGAAGGAAAGAGTTCACTACTTGACCTTATTAACTTATTTATTATAGTATTATTTGTAATAATATGAAAAATTAGAAAACCACCTAAATATAGGAGAATGGTTAGGTAAGTTGTAATACGTCAATAGAAGGAAACAGGGAGTCATTAGATATTGTATGGGTGTTTTTCAACTTTCACGCATTGTACATTGACATGCCAAACTGTTTTACGTATGTTATCTAACTCAGTGTTTCTCAAACTTCAGTTATGTATATTTAAAACTTAATTCTCGGGCCGGCCCCATGGCTTAGCGGGTAAGTGTGCGCGCTCCGCTGCTGCCGGCCTGGGTTCAGATCCCAGGCGCTCACTGACGCACCACTTCTCCGGCCATGCTGAGGCCGCGTCCCACATACAGCAACTAGAAGGATGTGCAGCTATGACATACAACAATCTGCTAGGGCTTTGGGGGGAAAAATAAATAAAATCTTTAAAAAAAAAAAAAAACTTAATTCTCATGGGTTCTGTGTGTGGACTTAAATAATTTGAATTATAATGCTACTTAAATATAAAACATAAAACTAGGTAAAGCTCCTCATGCTTAAAAGCACTTATGCTACTATTGAAATCAATATACTAATGAAATAACAAACCAGTAAAATATTAACTGGAAATATTAATGTAAAAAACGATGTTCTGCTGAGGCCAAATTTCTACTCTCAGCGTAAATATGGTACCAGTCCAGCAGATTCTTTTGAGTATGACAAACCTATGCAGCTGAGTACCGTGAGATGACTCAGTTCTCATCATGGTGCTCTTTTCAGTCCACTATGAAATCTTCTTTTACCACAGTGATCAGGACATGATTTTGTTTTTATTTGACAATACATCATTTAGTATTAAGACCATCTCATACTTTCTGCTTAGCCCAAGCCAATTGAGGTAGTACCGTTACCACTAGATTGTGAACACAAACATGGAAGTCAATCTTGAAATCTTTTGGCATTAGTAAGTGACAAGGTGGTCATCCAGGTGATCCATATTATGCTTATACTATGATGTGTTTAAAATGAAAACACAAAATTAGACTCAGAGCGTGCTGATCTCTGTGAATCTATCTGCAGGTCTATGAACCCCAATGGCTTTAACTAATTATTATTTTGAACTGCTGGTTTGTGCTGCTATCTGCTAGACTGCCACTGTGGAGAAAAAGTGGGTCTCATTTGATTTTGTCACATCTCTCTGTTAGCCTTCTGGTTCTCACTGCCACCAAGTGTGATGAGGGGAAGCGAGTGAGCAGCACAGGTGATGGGGAAGGTAGCAGTGAGGAGCTTGTCCAGGTGTGGAGAATAACTGGCAGAAAGCCTACTCACTTTGTGCTGCAGTGACTAGAGGAGAAGGATCCCTCTATCCCTTCTCCAGACAGTGTTTCTGGTGCAGAGTTTTCAAGATTTCACTGCACTAGTGTGTGAGTTGGGTAGAGGTGGTGAGTGAGCCTTTGGAATGGGGATTGCGGGTTCAGTTTCCCAGTTCTGGGCTGGTGGAGTGGTTGAGTCCTGAATTGAGAACAGACATCCTTTCCTTCCCCTCACTTCCTGTCTTAGGACATGCGAATCTCTTTTTTGTCTTTTAGAAATTTAACTTTTGCAACAATTTTTCAGAAATAAAATTGTATGAAAATAGCCTTTAGAATACATGATGTTCAATAAATGGTATTGGAACAACCTAATCTGGAAAATAAATACTTATTGCACACAAAAATAAATTCCAAATGGATTAAAGAATTAAAAGTAAACAATGAAACCAATGATTACTATACAAAAACATCGGTTCATGTTTTTAAAAACTGTGATAGGTGAAGGTGGAAACAATGTAAACATTAACAATAGAGAATTGGTTAGATTATGCTAGATCCATACTATGGTGTGCCATAATCAGTAAATGTTCTTGAAGTATATTTATTGACACATATATTATGGAATATACATTGTTAATACATTGTATTGTATTAATACATTAATACAATAATACATTGTTAAGTAAAAAATAATTTATTACAGAATTATGAAAGAGCTAAGATCTAATACTGTTTAGTAGGGTCTAGACACTGCTAAGTTCTTTATAGCTTTTATTTCATTTGATCTTCACATATGATCCTGTTTTTAATATATATATTCAATTACATATACATTCATAGAAGACAAGTTTTCTTCTAATACTTTGTAACAGTTTTATTGCGGTATAATGGACATAAAATGTATATATTTAAAGTGTACAATTCGATCAATTTAGGCATTTAGACACATTCATGAAACCATCAACAAAATCAATGTAAACATGTATCACCCTCAAAAGTTTCCTTGTGCCCCTTGGTAATCCCTCCCTCTTTCCTCTTCTTACCCCACCTCTACTCGTGCCCCACTGTCCCCAGGAAACCAATGATTAGCTTTCTGTCACTAAAAATGAGTTTGCGTTTTCTAGAATTTTATGTAAATGCAGTCATATAGCATATACTTTTTTGGTCTGTTTTCACTCAGCATAGTTATTTTGAGATTCAGGTATGTTGGGTATATCAATAGTTCATTCCTTTTTTTGCTAATTAGTATCCTATGTTATGGCTATACCACAATTTGATTGAATTAAATTACATGCAAGCATGTCCTTCTCCATTACTTAGAAGAGTTATGCAGCAATTTTCATAAAGTTTTTAAAACAATAGCACCTTTGTTTTTTGTGTGGAAAATAGCCATTGACTGTACGAGATCCAAATTTGACGATTGTTGGAAAGGCAGTCCCATTGTAGTGTGAGGATATGCAATGGAGACAGCAGGCTCTCAATGAAAGTCAACTGAGGAGAAACTTAGGAGGAGCCTACGAAGACGTTCTATCTTTGTGATTTTGGGAATTTTCAAAGGTCTCTAGACATATCACATAAAGGACTACTGTGATGTTATTTCTGGGTAACCTGCTCAGTGAAGAGGTTATTAACTGAATATCTGAAGATATGCATGGTAACCCTGTATTGTGCCACCTGCTAGCTATATGACTTGATTAAGCCTCATCACCTCTCTGAGCTTCATATTCCTTGTATAAGGGGGATAAGAACTTTGGATCTGCCAGGCCTGCTAATTATGTTGTGTACATCGTACTTAGAGAAGGGTAACCATCTCATTAAGGGAAGGGAGGGTAGGGGCTGAAATCAGTGTACTCTGTGTGCTGTATCCTGAGGCTGTGTCTGCCCAGAGCAAGGATGCCTTTTTCAAATTCTCACAGGGGCCCATCTATTCATCAAGCAGTGCACAGCAGTTCTAAGTCTTCCTAGGTGGGATGTAAGAGGGGACGGGGTGAGACACTATTAATTTGCTCAAAGATGCTAAATAGGCAATAGTGGCTCTGTGCCTACCTTACAGCATTGTTACAGAGAACAATGAGATGTGTGTGAAAGTGTTTGAAAAGTATAGTGTTACAAATACAATGTCTTGCTATTTTGCTGTTTATCTGTGGTTTATTTTAGGGTAGATACAACAAGAATTGAATACTCCATTCCTTTAAGAGAAAACTGGGCACTACCATATTTTGCATGCCAAGTTGCTGCACTTACAGGCTATTTAAAAAGCAACTTAAATACTTATGGAGAGGTAAGATACAAATTTATTTGTCACAGTGAATTCTGATATATTGCTAGTGTGGTACATAATTTTAAAGCTAACCTTATTAAGAGTTAAGTTATATTCAATGAAAGCTAGTTACTACATAATAAAGGATATAGTTAAGTAGTCTTTTTATAACACTGTTATTCTATAATCTGATTGACAGTTTATTTTTAGGAGAAAGGAGATGTTATATTGTTTTAGTGTAGTTACTTGTCAAATATATGAAGAATATCTTATTTTGAAAATTAATCTATCTCGTTATTTTACCATTTCTCTCACTTCTGAAACATTGATGGCCTTTAGTCATCATAAATTAAAGAAATATTAATGAAGATATAAAAAGTGACTATAACGACAGCAGTGTTAACTGTTATGGTAGCAATGCGTATTTTCTGTTTGCCCTTATGTTTTCTGTGACTGAGGTGTAGGTAGGTTAATGAGTTTCAGAAGACTGTCGTAGATAGTTTAGATTCTTACTTTTTTTGTTGGTGTTGCCATAAACCCTTTTGGCAATCAGATGAAGCTTACAGACTCTGTCTCAGAATAATTATTTTAAATGCATAAAATAAATGCGATATAAAGGCAACCAATTATATTGAAATTGACTGAAATGTAGCAATCCTTTGACAGTCTGCCTATCTTGGGTTATGAATTCCTGGCTGGAAAAAGAGACGATAGGGCCCAAGGAAAGGCTTCTATTAAACCTGGTTAGCTGGGAAATAGGAAGCACTTATGTTCCTTTCTGAAATCTCTGAAAAAGGTACTATTCTTTCTTTCCTTCTTTCAGTGATGACAAATGTCCTGAGCATAGCAAACTTTGTTTCATTTTTTATAACTCTAGGTTTCCTTTTTTATGTAAAATAACATAACATATTTCAGATTTGTAGTTTTCCTTTTGTTGTGTTTGTATAAAGAGTTTTCTGAGCAAGAATATTTTCTATAATAGTCAGGGAGTCTATGATTGAGTGTTTTCCTGTTAGATTGTGCAGGCTTCTTCTAGGAAAGAATAGTTCTTCAATCTTTGAATAAATGAATTTAATATAGCAAAATGAACTGTCTAAGCTTCTTTGTATTTACCATTATTTTGAACTAAAATGAAACTTTTGTTGCTTAAAAAAGGTTTATTCAAGTTATCTTTTTAATGAAATTATTATTCCTTTTTATTTTAAGAGAAGAAATTTTGGAAAAGGTAGTGTGATGTATAAAATTATTTTTTACCTTCTATACCACATTTGATATTTTTCTGAGTATCTTTTTTCATGGCTATGTTATGTGTTTATTCTTTCTAATTTTTTTAATCCTTTTTTTTTTATTTTTGTTTTTTTGGTGTGGAAGATTAGCCCTGAGCTAACATCCGATGCCAATCCTCCTCTTTTTGCTCAGGAAGATTGGCCCTGGGCTAACATCCATGCCCATCCTCCTCTACTTTATATGGGACGCCGCCACAGCATGGCTTGACAAGCGGTGCATCAGTGTGCGCCCTGGATCCAAACCTCTGAACCCTGGGCTGCCGAAGCAGAATGTGCACACTTAACCGCTATGCCATGGGGCTGGCCCCTATTCTAACTTTTTTTTAATTAAAAAAGTAATACAGGGGCCGGCCCGGTGGCGCAAGCGGTTAAGTGCGCGCGCTCCGCTACAGCGGCCCGGGGTTCGCTGGTTCGGATCCCGGGCGCGCACCGACGCACTGCTTGGCAAGCCATGCTGTGGCGGCGTCCCATATAAAGTGGAGGAAGATGGGCACAGATGTTAGCCCAGGGCCGTCTTCCTCAGCAAAAAAAAGAGGAGGATTGGCGGATGTTAGCACAGGGCTGATCTCCTCATAAAAAAAAAAAAAAAAAAAAAAAAGTAATACATACACATTACACATATGGTAAAAAAAAAAGTTCAGTCAGTGCAAATGGATATATAGTGAAAAATGTATTTCCCTGCAGTTCGCTATTGTTTACCAAGGACCCTGTATTTTTTGAAGGGATCCAAGAATAGCTATACTCTCATTTTAGGTTACATTTTCTTTCTCCTTTTTTGTTTACAATTATTTTTCTCTATTTTGAAAGTACTCCATAATATCCTCCTTCCTCCCTTCCTCCCTCTCTCTCTTTCTTTCTCTCTTAGCATTAAGATAAAGGATAAAAATTGCATTTATCAGTTATTTGATTATTTATAACTAGCCACTCATCTGCTACTCAGGAGTGCACAACAAGAGCAAAATATCTATATGCAAATATTAAAGGAGTGACAATATTAAAGATTCTATAAAATATACAGCAGGGGGAAAAAAAAAGCTAACTTGGTATATTCTTAACCCTTCAGCTTAACAACTCATGTTCACCTCCCTTGATCTCACCCTATGTGCACACGTTTGTGTGTGTATGCATGTGCATTTGTGTATGTGTGTGTTGAAATCTAAAGAAGATCTGTACCTGAATTAATAGTATGGTGTCAAGGTCAATTTTCCTGGTTTTGACAATGGTCATGTAAGATATTGTTATTGGGGGAAGTTGGGTGACAGGGTACATGGCACGTCTCTGTACAACTTCTTGTGAATCTTAAAGTAATTGAAACTAAATATGTATATGTATTTTTCACTGTAACTTTTTTACGTGCCTTCCTGTTTTGGGAGGAGGGGTATATATTTGTATGAATTTTTATCTTGTGTAGATTTGAGTAACCATCACTGTAATTAAGATATAGAACTGTTCCATTGCTACAAAGAAACTCCCTTATGTCTTAATTGTCACAACTTTCCCCCAACCCTAACCTCTGGCAACCACTGATCTGTTCTCTATCACTATAATTTTGTCACTTTAGAAGTTTATATAAATGGAATTATATAGTAGGTTATCCTTTGAAATTGGTTTGTTCACTCAGCCTAATGTCCTCATCATCCATCCAAGTTGTTGCATATATCAATAGTTTACTCCTTTTCATTGCTAAGTAGTATTCCAGCAATGTGTATATATTTCTTTTTTATTTTTTAGGAACATTGGCCTTGCACTAGCATCTGTTGCCAATCTTCTTCTTTCCCCCTACCCCAAAGCCCCAGTACATAGTTCTGTATCGTAGTGGTAGAGTTGTAGCTCTTCTATGTGGGACGCCACCTCAGCATGGCTTGATGAGCAGTGAGTAGGTCTATGCCCAGGATCCGAACCGGCGAACCCCAGGCCCTGGAAGCAGACGACATGAGCTTAACTGCTGCGCCACCGGGCCAGCCCCTGTGTTTATTGTAATCACATATTTTATACTGTGCTTCCCATTCTTGAGGCTAGATCTGATGGTCCCAGTTGCAGCAGGATATCCCAGCTCAGATCTTTTGTGCAGTTATCTGGAGCCATCCAGAGACATCTGCAGTTGATTTCTGAAACCCACTTAATATCTTACTTAAGTTATATGTGTATAAAAGTTCACAATAAAGGCATAGTTAAAAATGAAGTAAGCAAGGTAAGGGGTAGACAAGAGTACACAGAATTTTGAGAATGTTCAGAGAAAGGAAAAACTTAGCTAATTGTCCAGATTGTGTTCGACATATATTTCTGTGTTATTTTCACACCATGTTCTTAGAGTAGTTTGAGAATAAACCCTTGGAATTAACAGTTTGTTTCATTATATTGTGGCTTTTCCTCAGCATCCCCAAAGTAATCTCCAAATGGCCAGTAGGTTTATTAGACTGGATCTAGATGTGAGCCTTCACTGATTTCTGGAACTGGTTTCTCTGGAGGTGGTGGGTTCAGGCCTGGTTGTTACAGTTCTGGTTGTCCCACACCAGCAAGTGTCTTGACACTGTCTCTTACAGCCAGGGTGACAGGAAGAGCAGAAGCTCGTGTGTTCTGTCGGTGCCGAGCCCTTCTGGGCCTTGCGGTTGGTATTTTTAGACCAACTGGTGGAATTTTTCCATCTCTTACATTTTGTTCTCTGGTCTTAATCTTTTTTTTTTTTTTTTTTTTAATAATTTTATTT